ACGTTGGAGGCCACTGCGGCAGATCCATTTTGAAAAACGGAATTCCCCCACACAGTTTTTTTCGGCTGGTATCTTGGAAGTTTTCGAATCACATTTCAAGGCAATCCGTAAAGTTTACGTACCCTATCAATTCACTCCAAGATGGCACGTTCGTGTAAAAAAACGAATTGTGTCTTTTTTTGCTTCCAAATTGCCTCCGGGTGTCCGTCAGATAAGCACAAAGCATACGTCACGAGCGACGCGTCGGAAATTTTCTCAGTAGCAGCTTATCAGCGGTAACCTTAACTTTTACACTTTTACAGAGGGCATTACTTCATTTCCAAGCTCTTGTCATCATTTAGAAAAACGTATACGAGTAAATTTGATTCACTACCACCGACAACAGTCCTTCTCAGGACTACACTCACCCGGACGATCAGACTACACCTTCACAAGTAAATTTGATCTAACCTCGATATCATAGCGATAGAGGCTAAAACGAAACAGGCCGAGTTTATAGCCAAATGTCAACAGACCGCTTGAAAATTTACTGACATTACTCGTCGTGACCCTCACATGACATAAAAATGTATCCACGCTAAAGAAAGCTTCTAATGCTTACTTAAATTAGTTGTCCCTTGTGATAAGGGCAAACGTTTGGCCTTGGGTGTTTTATGACTTTCAAGAAGACGTTCACATTGTACTACACCGCTGGTGAGTTTATGAGGAGATTTTTCAAATAGTGTAGGTTCGTTTCCCTTTTTGGGACAGTTTTATCCATTCATATATTCGTGTTTGTCCAGGTATATTTTCATTTTTTTTAATGAGATATTTTTGTTCGAAAGAAATTGCTTGGTCGGTCTTCCGGCTTACCGTTAAGAATTCTCCTTCTCTAAATATTTTGACGCGAATGATGTTCAATGGGTGCTTTGAAGTTACATTTAGTTCCCCTTGCTTTGCACTGTGGAATTCAAATAAGAAAATTTGAAAATTTTGCTGCTTTTTCACAAAGAAGTACTGTCGGCAAAGTCATGCTCTCAAATCCAAGGGAAAGAGCGCGTGACAAGAATTAGAGATAACGTAATCAACCACCAAAAGACAAAGGACAAACAGCCGTTTCAAAATCAGTCAACTTTCCAGCGCGTGCACTCGAATTCGATGCAATGTGACACCTTCTAATCGACAATAACGCGCAAGGGCTAATGGGATACCCGACTGATGCTCCCCCAGTTTGGTTCATCCGTTACACAATATTAAACACTGCTAGGCAAGATATGCTCACAAATCTGAGGGAGAGAACGCGTGACGAGAATTGAATATGACGTAATCAACAATCTAAGATATCCCTGTATCGGCGTAACTCACGTTTTAATTGATGACAATTTTGCGTTGCGGTTCGAGTTTCAAAAATTCGAAAATTCCAATTTTTTCAAGATAGAGGACGAAGAATGGGTCGCCATCTTTCGACCTTTCCACTATTCTTATTTGAATGGGATGGTACGCCACTTCGAATAGAACTTGGGTGACGCGCCATTTGAAATCTTTGAAACAGTTCAAAGAAACTCAGCCGTTTTGATCGATCCCATGATCCCATTGGAAATTTGTAGGATACTGTACTGTAGTGTAATGGAACGGAACGTGTTACACAATGGAACGCACTGTAGCGTAGGATGGTGTAAAATTGAAAGGGAAAAAGAAAGGAAAAGGGAAAAAAGGACACTAAGACTATGGTGCAGGTTGCGCGATTTCCGGTTAAGCTTAACGAAAGCTACTTTGAGATGCGATCACAGCCAGGCCTCGGGATGAACCAAGGATGGCATCATGCCGAGCCGTTCTTCACAACGGTACACAGAACTCAGGGATTCTTCTTCTTTTTCTTGTTTATTCTTTGCACAGTAACTCTCTATGAGGACTTTTAACTCCCAATAAATTCTAGAAAACTCTCTGAAAATTCGCTATTTTTTGTCGCGTCAGGTTGTCTGATTTTTCTCTTTGATGTTCTTTACCTAATTTTGCAGTACTCGCAAGTGTCACAAACTAAGAAGAGTGGGGTCGGTCAAAACTTCTGTGCAATGCAAAGATAATTAAAAGAGTAAGATTGAAAAAACAATTAAACATCTTACTCTACTTTTTGCCGAGCTCAAAATTTACCATCTTTGCTATTGTATGACCAAACAATATCTATAGGCTATTGAACGAATTGTAGATTAAAATTTCTTTTAATTCGTGTGATGCTCAGAAGGCTGGCTGACTTAAAGCTGTGTTCCTAGAAACTTCGGTGACTGTGGGTTCATCAGGATGCAAAGTTTGATTAATTTTCATATACATTTATCATCGTTGTGGTTGGTGTTTTTTTGTCTTTTTGTTTTTTTTTTTTTGTTGTTGAAAAATTGTTTTATCAACTATTCTTATCTTATTAAAGCTTGTTTTGGGGGGAAAAGGTGCTCTATTAAAGTTAACTAGGTATTGAGTTTCACAGTATTTTGATAAAGGGGAAAACAATACTCATACGACTTCGTAAAAAGTGTTGTCGTAAACTTCGAGACTTGTATTGATTCGTCAATTGATTCCTTTGATCCGTCCTAATATAACATACTGACCTCGTATCGTAAACCTACTTCTTCGCCTCTGCTTCAAAAAAAGGATTGATCAAAGCGGTGTAATGTACATGCGATTATTTTAGTCAATGTTCATTTGTCCATCAATCAACCAAAACTGTATAAACAAAACAAGTATCCGTTTCAAAAGATTACAAAATTGTTCCCGCTGGAGGCGTCTCCATGCATGTTTCCGACAAATGCTATCAAACTACTGGTTCGTCTGTTATATTAGCTGTGGGTACATCGAGATACCGATGAGGCACCCGGTTAGCTTGAGTAACTCTCGGCTACACCTCGAGAAATTCTTACACGTATGCATCTGGTGATTTGCCTGTGGAGTTGCATGTTTGCTGTAGGTACTCTTGACCGGTATTTCAGCCGATACATCGATCGAGAGTCGATCGATACTCGATCGATATGTCGGTCGAGATTCGGTCGACACCCGGTCTGTCGACACTTGGTCGATACTCGGTCCGTAATCTGTACTATCGACTAATATATCAATCGAGAGTACTTAACGTAAACATCAGTGATCCGCCAGTGGTTTGCGATACAGAATGTTCGAATTATCCTGGGAGAAGTTACATTAATCATTGACACCGTCATTTACACAAAATTCCACACAATTTTCATTCCCCTGTTTTACTTTGCAGAGTAACACTGTACAGGTAAGTCCAGGATGTCAGCGGAGGAATATTCAAAGTCCGAACGCTCTATGCTAATCCCCAAGGAGCAAGATAATAGATGCTATTCGACTGGCGGGGAGACAGGCACCTACATCCCTCATAGAAGCATGAGTCGTCGGCAAAGGGTTGTGAACGCAGTATGTATTCTCGTAATGGAGTTATGTGAGCGCCTGACCCTCTTTGGAATCGTGGCAAATTTGGTGCTATTTTGCAGGAATGTGTTAAAGCTTGACTCACCATGGCCGTCAACAGTCGGTCTCTTGTTACAAGGTTGGTTTACAATATAATACTAGTAATAATAATAATTTAATATTTATATTGCGCAAATTAACATGTGGATATGATCAAATGCGCATCACAACACTTTTCGGGGGACTTTGGTCGGACTGCATCTGCAGTTTACAAACAATTGACGGAAACTTATTTTGAAGATGTCCCCTTCCCCGCAATTCTCAGTACACAGGCCAGATCACATCACAGTAATCTCGTGAGTGGGTTCTTTAACGTCCCCTGCCTAACCAAATGAACTAATTAATAGATGCAGGAGACGGGACCTACGGTTTATTCGTCCTTATCCGAGAAGACTAGAATGTCTATCCATTTCTTGATATTATAGAAAGGTAGCGCATTCTCCTTAGCAGGAGGTGATGGGCTCCTGTCCTCAGTTATTTTAAGGCCTTGAGTGTAGGTCCGGCCGGGGCTCGAACCATCGACCTCGACCTTCCGCACAACAGTCCAGTGCTCTAACCAATTGAGCTAGCGGGAAGGCGGTTATCATCATCATAAAATCCTTTACAAGTTATAGCGCGTTTCGATTGATTGTCTTAAAACCAAAACCAAAGGATAGACAACGGCCAATCAGAAGAAAGCAACAAACCTTTAGCGCCAATGAGAACTTTAAAATAAAAACAATCAAACTTCTAAAGCGTAGGAAAACCCGGGTGACTAAGTCTTGATTGGTTACAGTTTTGCATCTGATTGGTTAAGGAAGTGGCGCAATTAGTTTTATGGACCAATCACAGGGCGTCAATAAAGCGAAATCCACATTACCTTCGACACTTAAATTAAAATTGCTGTAACGTCTCGGTGAAACTTGACCGTACCAACGACAGATTCAAATATTGCTATTGCTAGTGTTGTTTTTCTTTCTTTCAACGGTAAATCGTTTGAACACAAGAATAACGACAGTTGATCGTGTATTCTGATCTTCAAGAACGTTATAAAAACGAAGCACAACGCCCACACTCCTTGACGGATCGATTACAACCAATCACGACCAACCAAGGCTACTTGAGTCTTCCAGCCGAGAGCATCTCGGCAAAACGGACCAATCAGTTAACACGATCCAGGCTCATAACAGTCGACTAATTGATAACTCCTCCTCAGCTAACGACTTCCATTAATAAGGTTGCCAAAACCTTGGTCACCACTACCAGACAACAGTCCTCAACACTTTCTACACCCCGACGATCAAACAGAATATATACACAATCCCCAATTTTTTTCTTCCTATTCCAGCAAGAATATGAGAAAATATATTGTGTCAGGAGCCCATTTAGTCGGCTCCTGACTGTGCAATTCTCTTGTGTAGGATATAATGAAAAGCATGTCCCTTAAAGAAAGTCAATTTGGAATCATCCCGAGCTGAGATTTGATATCTGATATTTGAGAAAGGCATTGTAGTATAAAACGATTCTTCACAGAGATAAAAAACTGATTCAACTCAACCATTTAGTATTTTCAACCACGAAGTCGCGTATAAATCACGTGACCAAGATTACACGCAAGGCGTGCAAACAAGATAAGAAATAAGATAGAAATAAAAATATCAAAAACAAAGTGTCAATGTTCAGTCACAGCGGGCAATATTGGTAAAAATTTTTCAAACACGTTACGGAAAATTGGTATGTTTTTGCCACCCACAGAATAGCTCGAGGGCTCCCCTAAATCTTTGGCCCCTTGCATTAACCAGCATTCACTGAGGTCACAGGAATAAATGAAATGGGCTCTTGATTGCTTAAAGAAAATTCTCCCTGTCCCCTTTAGAAAGTACCAAAGGAAATGTGTAGATAACAGGAGGATGTCATACTTTTTCTTTTCATAGGAATGTGTTATCTTACTCCTCTACTTGGTGGGTGGCTTGCTGATACTTACTTGGGTCGGTTTAACACTATCTTTGGAAGCGCCCTATTGTATTTTGCTGGAGTTGTGCTTTTGGCTGCAGTATCAATTCCTGACGATCTATTGGGGGCAGAGTTTGATGCAACAGCAAGAACGGTGTACTTTGTCGTAGCCCTTGGGATTATATCATTTTGCACGGGAGGAATTAAAGCCAATGTGTCGCCCTTTGGAGCAGATCAGGTGAAACAGGATGGTCCAGGAGCTGTCCAGACCTTTTATAGCTGGTTTTACTGGTTTATCAACATTGGAGCCCTAATAGCTTATACAGCAGTGGTATGGCTCCAGCAAACAGACGTTTTCTCTGGTTATGCCATCCTAATTGTAACGATATTACTTGCCATGGTTGCTTTCCTGGCCCGTCGTAACAAGTACGTGGTCAAGCCGCCAGGGGGTAGCCAGCTGACAGAAACTGCAAAAATTATTTGGGAAGCCATAACAAAACGAAAACAGAACACCAGTCGTTGGATGGATGGAGCAAAGATAAGATTTGGCGGAAGTTTCGGTGATGCCCAAGTTGAAGATGTCAAGGCATTACTGAGAGTAGTACCAGTGTTTATCACTTTCATCGTCTACTTCGTAATTTTCTCTCAGGTAGGGCTTTTCTTCTTCAACCCAGCCTTTACACGTACGCCCTGATATCATGATTGTGCATATTCTCCATACTGTTCTCAATACATTTCCGGGGGAGCTGAAAGGGAAAATTTGTTCAGCAATGAAAAGCTTCTTTAATTGGTGATCATCTCGTTTATTCTCATGTCCTTTATGTGTGATCCAGCGATGATATTTTAAGGAGAAATTAGATGCTGGCCACTCGGTCAAAGGTGAACACCAGACCTATTTTGTAATGGGTCACATTGTTTGATAAAATCTCGTTTTCTGATTGGTTACGAAGCAAGGTACGAAGCGTGGAATCGCGAGTTGAAAACGAGGCTAAGTGATAATGTTTCGTATCTCTTGTTTCGCGCTCAAGATAAAAACAAACGTTAAAAAACAATTATATTACTGTTTTTCTTTTTTTTTTCTGATTTTTATTCAATTATGAGATTCAAGAAAAATCCGCTACTTAACTTGTGAATTCCGCGTTAAATTGCATTTGAAAACCAATATCGCACCACTCGCGAAGGGATTCATGCGATATCGGTTCTCGCGTGCAATTAAACATCGAATTCCCTCGTCTGGTAATGAACTTTCCAATAGAATAGTATGGCCAGACAGCAATGTAGAGGTTACTGAGGGTGTAAACATCGATGTCATACACAATTCATTGGAGTTCAGCTATTTAAACAATTGAGTGTTTCTGTCGATGAACTATCGACTGATAGTTGCCCCGCGGAAATTTGATGTTCTTAAAACAAATATGCTAGTTTTAAGAACATCAAATTTCCAAGGGGCAACTATCAGACCGATAGTTCCGAGACATAAACACTCTATTGTTTTAATTGTTCACCACTAAGTTTTCCTCCGCGCCTACAGCTTGTCACAAATGTCAATAATTCGCAACCGTACATTGGTTAAATAATACGTTATACCTGTCAGAATTGAAAAGTCACTGCTTTTCCGATCTGCCTAACTTCGCGGCCGTCAAACTATTCAAAACCTTTCACGGATGAGTACTATCAATCCAGGTATTATCCGCGGACAGGCACTATCCATCCGGGTATTTTCCGCGGGCGGGCACTATGGGCCGATAGTGTCTCTCCACGGATAAACACTATCGCGACACGTGATCGATTTAAAACAATAAGAACCGGAGAAAATTTAGTGGTGAACTATAATCACCAATAGTTTGGACCTGACTCAGTTTTATTCTTTTAGTTAACTATGATTCTTAAAAGAGCAGAAGGATAGTGAGCGGACTATAAGCATTCATTTTAAAGCATCCTAAATTCGTTGATTTTTATAATTGTAAAAGTCCCCATCGAACCTATCCTTGCGTCAGGTTTGAATCCAGGGCGAGAAGAGGCAATGCAATGGTAAGGTGTCCTCGTCATTATCTTTTTCTAAATGAAGTGTTGTTATTGTAAGGAGAAGTTTTATCTTTATCACTGTTGGGAGTCAAGGGGTTTCGTTTTTCCTATTCCTTTCTTCTTCTGGAGTTGAAAAAGAAACAGTGCATGTTTTGTTTTCTTGCATCGTATGCAAGAATATATTCACATCATATCCTTTTTCTCCTCTTTTAGATGGGCACAACATTTCTTATCCAAGGCACCTTCATGAGGCTACAGTTTGATAACTTTACCATACCAGCAGCTTCTCTGACGGTTTTTGACATCGTGATCGTTCTTGTGCTAGCTCCCCTCATGGAACATGGTATCTATCCACTACTTGAAAGAATTGGCATCAAGGTGACGCCCCTGAGGCGCATAGGTGTGGGTTTCCTGATAGCGGCAGCGTCAATGGTTGCGGCTGGTCTCGTTGAAATTAAACGAAGGGAGGTATGGCAAGCTGGTGATGTTTGCAGACAGATCGTTTTTGGGGAAGTTCACGATGCCTCATGTTTCAGTGTTATCTGGCAGGCACCAGAGTTCTTGTTGATTGGAGCTAGTGAAGTGCTTGCGAATAGCACAGGTTTGCAATTTCGTATCATTTTTATCGCTAAATAAAAGTAATCACACAATGTTGAATAAACAGCTCACGCATTACGAAATTAATCCCGATAATAAATTTATTATATTTGACATCTTACTCTTCTGAATAAATCACTTCTTTTCAACGAGGATAAAGAATCATGATCATATGATTCGATGAAGCAGTCTTCACGCGAAAAAATCACACGGAAAAACACGTTTTGACTCCGGAGTGACTAGCATCTAATTCCCCTGTACAAATCACCGTTGAATCAAGCACTAAGGTCATGGTAATGAAGGAAATGATCACAAACTAAAGAGGCTATTGATTGGTAAACAAATTCTCCTTGTCAACACCTTAGGAAATTTATGGTGAGTACTATCAAGAATATGCGTTCTGATGTAAGGTTATAAAGAGTTGAGCACTTTCGTCTCTCGTATCTACCCCATCCCTAGGATTATAGAACCCCCTTTCAATTAAGTAAAACACAAAACTTGTTTACTTATTTTGCAGGACTTGAGTTTGCATACTCACAGGCTCCTGAGTACCTCAAGGGAGTGGTGATGGCCCTGTATATGGCTGCCTGGGGACTCGGAAGCTTTCTTGCAAACCTTCTTGTTGCTATCGTTACATCAGGAGGGAACAGTGATTGGTACCCCGAGAAGGATCCCAATAGAGGTCGTTTTGAGTACTTTTTTTTTCTGGTGGCTGGTCTGCAGATGCTGGATTTTCTGTTGTTTCTGTACATAACATTTTCCTACGAATACAAAGGATCGCCTCAACTAATTGAAGATACAGAGGAAGATCAGGAAGCCAATGAACTGACTGTTTCAACTGTGCGTGTGTGAGTGATGCCGGCACGTATGTTTGTCGCATTTTTTCGTCTTGCTGATTAAGACTTGTTTACAGCAATTAAGCTCTCGAGAATAAATGAAATGATTACCGAGCCATGAAGCTCTAGATTGTTGAGCAAATTACGCCTATCAGTACCTACGGAGAATATGCATACTTACGCCAGAGTGTATAGGGTTAGGGTGATCGGCTAAGAACAGGTAATTCTCAAGGGAATAAAGGCTGAGCGAAGGGCTAACGCTCGAAACGTCAGCTTTTGTAATTGTTACGGTGGCAAATTTACCATTTCAACCTTGTTGATATATCCAAATTATTTCGTTACCCCCACCGACGCAGCCCCAAACAGTTTCTTTAGAAACTATCAGCCTTTAAAAAAAAAAACCCTACCTTTTTTTTTTGCCTTAATAGCAAATACTCTTGTAAATAGTTTTAGTGTATTGTAGTTTAAATTATCGTATTTCTGCAAATTAATTAGGATAAATAATTCAGTTCATTGCGTTGTCGTTTTTGTTGTTTGCTTTATTGTTTTGATTAGGATAATAAAATATTTGTAGGCTTACGTTTAGTTGTGTTGTGGCGTGTCTTCTCGGGTTCGTTTGTGCTTGGTGTTTTGTCTATGTTAGAGGGCGCCCACCTTCGTGGCGCAGATTCGTCACAGCACCTCACCTCTTTTCAAATGTGGAATCTGGCCACCAGATGCTGCACCCTGAAATAAATCTCACGGTTACTGTGACAGCGTAACGGTTAGAAAAGAGAAAGTTTCCATAGCTGCAAATGTAACACAAGGTGGATGTTGCATAAAAAATCAACAATAATGCATCTCTTGATCGGAAATTTTATTTTCGCAGCAGGTTGCTTTTTCCTCTTCACGTTTACGTTAGGCAACTTTAGCATCACGTTTACGGCAAACGGCGAACCTGAGGAGGTCACGTGACCACCGCTTTGCCGTCACGTTTACAGTTTGCCGTTCCAGTTTCGACGGGAAGAAGGCGCTCCAGCCGTAAGTGACTTACGGGAAGGTTTTTTGGCCACTTAACGAAACCAACTTACGTTTGACACTTTTAGTAAGAATTTTCTACCATCTATGGATCCAAATGTCGTTTTTTTGTGATTAAAAAAACAATGTATTTTGCATGATCTAAATGGAAGAAAGCCGAGTGG